CAAGCATAAGTATAGAAGAAATAATAGAGGAGATATCTTATATATATGGCCAAAAAGGTTAAAAGCCACTTATCTTTGAGACCAAATGAAATGAATTGATACATAAATTGTTACAGAAAACAGAATTGTTTGTATTTTTATTATTTTTATTAAAAGTAAAAAAAATTAAATTGTATATAAAACTAAACTAAAACATTAAAAAGAACAAATTCAAGATTTAAAACAAATAAACATAACAATTCAAATTTAAAAAATAAATTTAAAATAGTTCAAAATATCATATTACATATAATTTAAAATTGTTGCTAAAAAACAAACAATACAACCACCTGTCATTATGACACACATACACACACATAAAAATAAATATATATATATATATATATATATCCTACTGGAGATGCTTTTATTTTACAAAGTGTTGGGGAAAAAGTTGACCATGATGAAAAGTGGTGAAGACAAACATACCTGTGGCTACATGACTCTGGGCACTGATTGAAAGGTTTGCAAAACCAGCGGAGGAGAAAAACAAAGACACCACCCTATTGTTTTATCCCTTGTGTTATGAGAACAGCAGAAGAGTTTCGTGTTCAGTGTTTGTTGTGTGTTTGTTGCCATGAACGCCTCAACACACTGAAGTTTTGCTTGGCCAAGGGAAGCCTGTGGAAAGAGAAGACTCAAATGGGTTTTCTCTGTAAATTGTTCAAGCGAACGCCTGGCTGGAAATGAAATGGGAAATGCATGACGGAGGATGGTGAGTTTATGGTGAAAGAGTGCCAGGATGGGCTACTGACTGTAACGGCACGTTTAAGGGAGCGAGACATTGTTACGGCTACCACATCACACAAGTCAGACACATTTCACAGTGGAAAAAGAGCTTTAAGCATTTAAAATCCTCACCTAATTAAACAAGAAGCAGTTGACAGTAGCTATGTTGCAATTCAAAAGATGTGATTCCATCCAACGAGTCAAAGAGAACAAAATCGCCACTTCCTGATAAACTGGCACTAAATATCACTAAGAAAAGTAGGAGAAGCCACTGAATATAATCATTTTCATATATAATAAATTACTTGCGCCTCAGAGCGAGCAGACGAAACACAAGAAATAAATCCCATCGTGCAAACTCGCATGACTTTTTTGATGCACATGGTGGAATTTATTCGGTAAAAGTGTTTCCATCGTAGTTTATGCACATTTTTAGAATTTATGCTCATCTTGGCATTTCCATCCAGCGTTTTTTAATGCGATATTCCAAAATGCGCATAAAGATAGGTGGATGGAAACATAGCTTGTGTTTTATTAGCATGTTCACCAAATAAGTGTAACTCTTTCTAGGAGATCAGTGAGCTGAAAGATGTACCTTTGAAGCCTTGGAGATTGAAGATACGTCAGATTTCCTCCAGAGGAGCAGAGGCGAGCTCTCGCATGCTCTCCTCTGAAGCTCCTCTGCATTGTGAAACACTGGAGGACTAGACAGCCGTATGATGGAGGACACAGGGTTTTTTTTTTTTACCGCAGGTCAGTGACTGTACACTGATTTACACTGTTTTGCACCGAAATTCTCGGCCTTAACAGTTTAATAGACATTGCTTTTGTGCCATCATTGTTCAGTCACATCAATGTTTGTATGCAATATGTATTATTTATTACAATATAGAGGAAAATAATTTTTAAAATGTTTTAGAAATTTGACTCTGTATGTATTTTAGCAATAAATATTTTTTCTTAATTAAAAATGAGGTTGTATAGACATTCTGTCCTCAATTATTAAGCTTATTGACAACATTAAAATATGTATTTCTAAAAAATCCTGGCAAGAAAAAGATTAGTAAATTAACACCTTGAACGACATTGAAAATCACTCAGAATACCTTATCAACCATATAAAAAGCACCAGAAACATCATAGCAATGCCTTAGCAACACCTTAGCAACCATTTAGAAAGCACCAGCTACATAGCAACACCTTAGCAACCATATAGAAAGCACCAGCAACATAGCAACACCTTAGCAACCATATAGAAACCACAAGTTTTTTTTTTGGTTTATGGTTTATTTTTGTTGTGTTGGAATTGTTTACTTTGTGTTGTAGCTTATTTTTGTGTTGCGGCTTGTTTCCGTTGTGTTGTGCTAATTTCGTTGTGTTGCGGAGATTTATTTTTGTTGTGCACTACTGGTCCACCGTACAAGGCAGTCATTAACAGGAGTGACAACTGCATTCTACAACCAAACTGACTCCCGAAACATTCAGGTAGTGACAACTGCATTTACAGAAATTCTACGTATGTGTACAGAACCAAACTGAACATCTGTTTGTTAATGATGTATTTAAATGCGTATCAGAGTTGTGTCTTTTCTGTATGTGAAATTACGGGGTACTGTTTGACTCATATGTCGGTATTCGGTAATGCGATATATCACGGTAATGAATATGCACGATATTGTTATCGTGGGCACTTCAAAATACTGAGAATAATTATTTATTACAAATTATTCAGAATTTTTAATGCATTTTAAGAATTCTTTTCCCATCAACTGGTCACAATGCACAACAGCGCTGTAAGCGTTGTGTTGCGGCTTGTTTCCGTTGTGTTGTGCTAACATAGTTGCTTTTGGGAAACGCACCCCAGCATAGCAATACAATTCAAACAAAGGCTAGGTACCTCAGGTAAATCCTCCGAAAACAAATTATTTTCCAGGAAACTACAAAAGTCATAAATTGTGGCGTTCAAATCAAACTTAAACAGTTGTTATGGTCCATAAGACACGGTTTGTAATCATTGTTCCCGCTAGAGTCACACAACGAGTGGTTTAATTGATGAAATATCACAAGCACAATCAGCCTTGCTTCACCTGCAGCTCTCGTCCTCTGGCGCGCCGCCAGCTGGTCATTCAGATTTATTAGTTCTTCCATCAATCCATTCAAGAAGAGCTGGACGACTGTGAAACGTGACGGCCTGCTCAGCTCTCGTCTGGGAATGCAGAAACTCCCTCTCAATGTGCAATGCATTCGTCTGATAGCAAGACAAGTGAGTACAAATGAAGCTGCTCTTGTCACGGATACTTGTATGCATGAATATTTCTGTTTATTTTTTGACTAGGAAACTTTCTTCACCAAGATTTCCCAAAAGCCAGCTTTTGACATGCTGTTATATAATTTGTTGAAAGGATTCCTGGAAGCTTTGGAGCTGCTCTGCATGAATAATCCAAGACAGATAACGAAGAGTACAAGTAAACAAAGCGCGAGGCTTTGGAGGACGAACAAAACAAGCTTATAAATCTTCAAGCATCAGTGACACTTCAACTCGGGCAGAAAAATGAAGTGCGATGTGTGTTCCCGAACCGAATCCAGCAGCATGAAATAAACTCCACAACACGGAGTTGGCTGATGAGCATTACCCAGAAACCACCTCTTTCTGAAAGTACCGCCACACTCTAAATGCTGGCATTCAGTCAACATTGAGGTCATCTGGTAGCAGCAATGAACGGGGTGTTACCCAAATACACACTGTTCAACAGCTGCAAACAACATGTGATTTCATTCAGAAAGACGTGTTTGTTTTTGAGTATGAGGTGGATTGCATTTCAAAATAGCAATGGATTTTGGACTCATGCACTCCTGCAGTGTTGGGAAAGACTTTGTTTTGGTTTATTTGTACATATTCAGGCCTGGATTTAAAGGGATAGTTCACCCAAAAATGACGATTCTGTCATTATTACTCACCATCGAGAAACAGGTAATTTGAAGAACAGTTGCTGGTCCAATAAAAATACCATGAAAGTCGATGGCTACCGTCAACTGTTTGGTTCAAAATATCTTCTTTTGTGTTCGACAGAAAAAAGAAACTCATACAGGTTTGGAACTACATCCATTTTCATTTTTGGGGAAACTATCCTTATTTTAAGATTTATAGTTGGATTTCATATACAATTTCCATCTATTTGGATTACACAGTTTGAACAAACTAATAAACTTAATGTGATGCATATTTGTCAATCATACAGGATTTCTGTAGTAGTACTTACAAACTGAATGGGTTTTAAATACACAATAAGCAGGTTTATCTCTATATCTCTATACATTTCAACTAATTGAATATTGTCTCTATAGCCATATTCTAACCATGTTCATACTGAATAAATGTAATTATTTTCACAATGAACAGATACATGCTGATTGCAAACCAATTGGATGAATGCATTTTAAAATACAATTATTTTAATTTAATCAAATAGATGCAACTAGTTAATAACAAACTATGCCATGATTTTTTAAACAAATGGTTCTTACCTGTTTCATTTATGTATGATTGACAAATATGTATCACATTAGTGTTAGTTTGTGTGTTAATCAAAATGGATGGGAATTTTATATGTAATTCAAATATGTAAATCTTAAATATTTTATTTTATTACATTTTTTAAGAAGGAAAAAAAAAAGTCAAAAACCTTAGAAAACTACCCAGCGAATGCATTTTCTAAAATCTATTTTTAGACTGGTTAAAGGCACAATATGTAAGATTTTTTTATTAAAATATCCAAAAACCACTAGAACAGTGTTATATATTTTGCTCTTCGTTCTGCATCCGTTCGTCTTTTTCCTTCTCATCCCCAACACAGAATAATTAGAAAATTACACAGAACCTCGGAAATATGATTTTACAGATGATCCGCAAACACGCACGTCCAAACACAAACAAACGGCAGATGTTCGGCCCAGATGCAGTCTGGGAAACTTCCCATCTGTCTCACACAGCGGATTTCACCAGCGGCGGAGAAAAACCCAGGCCTTTTTATTTCTCAAGTGAAAACACTTGCTTTATGTGCGCTGGCACTCAGACCTGCTTTCCGACTCATTCCCTGCCTCTCCCTCTCTCTCTCTCTCTCCAACGCATGTGTGTGAGAATGTGTGTGTGTGTGTGTGTGTGTGTGTGAGAGTGTGTGTGTGTGTGTGTTTTTGATGGGAGGCTGAGTCTACATGGGAAGTGGGAAGGTGCAGCTGGAATGTTGCCTGAAGCTTCAACACAGAGAGAGAAAGAGAGAGCAAAGCGGCACTGTGCTTCTCTGGGTCAGATGCAACACATGGAATAAGCGGAGAACACAACACTGGTCAGAACAGAAGCTGCAGGATTTGTCGATGAAGAAGCGGAGATCATTCTCCCAACTTGACCAGCTTGGAGGACACCTCGACCCAACTGGTCCCTTCAATCTGTTGACATGAGAAGAGATCGGCTTCTGGTGGCCGTCACTTTGGTCACCCTTTTGGCAGCAGACATCCATTTCATCCTGCTTCCCAGACTCAGAACCTGTTATCAGCTGCCCAGAGAAAGCTGCTCGTGCACCGACAGCAGCCTGGAGAACGGAGCCGCTGCGACCGTCCCATGGACCACGAGCCAGAATATGACCGAGCGAGGCTCTAAGCTGGAGCGGCTCTTTAGACACCCGCTCTACAACATCCGTCTTCCAGAGCTGGGGCCCGAGGAGCGGCTGCTGCAAGAAGACGAGCTCATGAACAACTGCAAGAGGAAAGTGAGCCGCTGGGAAAGGTGTGTTAAACAGTGTTGGGGAAAGTTACTTTTAAAAGTAATGCATTACAATGTTGCGTTACTCCCTAAAAAGTAACTAATTACGTTATTTCGTTACTTTTTATGTAAAGTAATGCGTTACGTTACTTTTGCGTTACTTTCGCGTTATTCTTTAAATATGAGCAGGGCTTGATTGTTTTTAATATAAGAAGTTCTATTTATAGCAAATATAAAAGCCCTTTGTGTTAAATAATGTGACGTGTTTATTAGGAGGAACGCACTGAATGAATCGCAGGGATGGTCGTTAAATCAGCTTCTGTATAGACGCATGAGTGTTGAAGATTTCCACCAGTGTTTAACACACATTGACCATAGGGGGTAAGTTGTCACGATGGCAACCTGTTGCTTATTGATGAATTTTAGAAGATGTTTTGTTTAAAAAAAAAAAAAGTAACAGTTTGTGCTTCCATTAGTAAAAGTCAGGTGATGCATTGGCTAACTTTAACTATAACAATTAGCAATGCAATTGTTACATTATTTAATTAATCTTTGTTAAGGTTAGTTAATCAAAATACAGCTATTCAGTGTTAGCTCAGGTGCTTTAAATAATATTAGATGATACAATTTCAACAATGTATTAATAAACATTGAAATGAACATAAATGCTTTAGCAGTATTTTTATTGCTAATTCATTTGATCTAATGTAGTTGATTTATTTTAACAAATGAATAGAATATTCATGCACCAAAAACGGAAATATAAAAGCATTGTTTTAAACTGCTTAAAATCAACATACAAAGAAATATCGGAGAGCTTGAACTTACCTGACATTAATAAAAAAAATGTTTTTAAACTTTTGTCATGAGGGCAAAATTCAATGCTTGTGTGTTTTATTGTTTAATTTTTCACTCTAAAAAGTAAAAAATGATTAAATGAAATAGCTTCAGTCTCCTCTTTATTAACTGTTTACTTCAGTGACATGGTGTCTTTATGGCGACATCTAACTTAACTGAATTAAATTATGTTCAAGTCTAACTTAATTGATCTTAAATACATTAGTTTACACCAACAAAACTAAATATAAGGGTCATATCATGTAGAAATAGTAACAATTTCAGGTTACGTAATATAATTATTTTATTCTATGATAGACTAGTTTATAATAGGAGAAATTAAAGCATGTAGTTTGTTATTGACAACCTATATATATATATATATATATATATAATATTATATTATTAAATGATGCCTTGGTGTTTAAATAAGTAAAAATAAAGAAGAAATATAATATGTATTTATTTATTTATTTATTCATTATTATATGAACTCATATAGTAGTGTATTAGTATTGCTATGTGAATAAATGCATTATTATACCTTTGTGTTTAAAAAACAAAAATAAAGCAAAATTTTTATTTTATTTGTTTAAATAAATGAATTATTATTTATTACTATTATTATTGTATTAATCTAATAGTATTGTCTTTTTATTTTAAAAAATAAAGTAAAATTATAATATAATATATATAATAAATGTAAAAATGATTATAAATTGAATTCAGTATTTTTATTGTAACTATATTCTCTTAGTAAGACAATGCTGCAGAATCTTTGACTCAAAGATCGCTTTTTATAGCAAAATTCCCTCTCGCTGCCCCACAGAAATGGTATTTTCAGTTGTTTTGTAGGTTATATGTTGTGTTTTATAGACAGATCCCTCTTTTAATCGCACTGGCGTGATGCCGTTCAGTTAAAGTGCAGCCAGCAACACAAGTGTCTCCCACATAATCAGAGCTTTGCCGTAAACCACCCACTTTAATCAGGACGCACTCGTCCAGAGTTAGTTGTTTCAGGAGTTGTGGGTTGGTCAGTGGTCAGCGTCTCTGATTGGGGTGAAAAACACCTCAGAAGTCTATATTTGTGCTATATTTCTGAGCATAACCCTGCTGCGAGCACTCAGTGTGAAGTGCAGAGAGCTCCTGCTAAACATTTCTGGAGTTTATATTTGTCTCGTATATTGTTCATGATGCTGTCTCAAGCTGATGCATGTACAGGTCATGGGTCAACGGCTAATATTTGCTCTAAAAGGATCAATGATCTGTGACGTGGTGATTCTGTTTCTGTATAAATTATGTACAAATGATAAAATGTATTGTATAAATAGAATACAAAATGTATTAATTTGTGTTTAAAAAACAAAAATAAAGCAAAATTTTTATTTTATTTGTTTAAATAAATGAATTATTATTTATTACTATTATTATTGTATTAATCTAATAGTATTGTCTTTTTATTTTAAAAAATAAAGTAAAATTATAATATAATATATATAATAAATGTAAAAATGATTATAAATTGAATTCAGTATTTTTATTGTAACTATATTCTCTTAGTAAGACAATGCTGCAGAATCTTTGACTCAAAGATCGCTTTTTATAGCAAAATTCCCTCTCGCTGCCCCACAGAAATGGTATTTTCAGTTGTTTTGTAGGTTATATGTTGTGTTTTATAGACAGATCCCTCTTTTAATCGCACTGGCGTGATGCCGTTCAGTTAAAGTGCAGCCAGCAACACAAGTGTCTCCCACATAATCAGAGCTTTGCCGTAAACCACCCACTTTAATCAGGACGCACTCGTCCAGAGTTAGTTGTTTCAGGAGTTGTGGGTTGGTCAGTGGTCAGCGTCTCTGATTGGGGTGAAAAACACCTCAGAAGTCTATATTTGTGCTATATTTCTGAGCATAACCCTGCTGCGAGCACTCAGTGTGAAGTGCAGAGAGCTCCTGCTAAACATTTCTGGAGTTTATATTTGTCTCGTATATTGTTCATGATGCTGTCTCAAGCTGATGCATGTACAGGTCATGGGTCAACGGCTAATATTTGCTCTAAAAGGATCAATGATCTGTGACGTGGTGATTCTGTTTCTGTATAAATTATGTACAAATGATAAAATGTATTGTATAAATAGAATACAAAATGTATTAAAAAGTTGTACAGATGCATACAAAGTTAAATGTTAAAGGTTACACCAATAATAGTGATTATATACATTATTATTATATTATAATCCCACCATAAATTTCTTCTCGTTATCTGGTTTACCTGAATAATGTATCACAATATGGCAGTAAATTGGGAATGTGTGAATGTCATTTCTTTCAATGACATTTAATTATTATAATAGTATTATGCCTTCATGTAAAAATAATAAAGCAAAATTATACATTTATTTATTTAAATGCATATTTATTCAAATTATATTAATATGGTATTATACCTTTGTGTTTAAAAAAATAAAGCAAAATTATATTTATTTATTTAGTTATTATATTAATACAATAGTAATATATTATTCATGTATCATCCTTTTTAATTGTTTATTTGTATTTTTTAATGTGTGAATGGCATTTCATGCTATTTAATTTAAATTACATAATAGTATTATGTTATGCCTTTGTGATTAAAAAACTAAAAATAACTAAATTATATTGATTTATAATATATCTACACTACCGTTCAAAAATTTGGGATCAGAAAGATTTTTAATGTTTTTTTGTTTTTTTTAAAGAAGTCTCTTATGTTCATCAAAGTTGCATTTATTTGATCAAAGATACAGTAAAAAAAACAGTAATATTATGAAATCTTATTGCAGTTTGCAGTAACACTGAAGACTGGAGTAATGGATGATGAAAATTCAGCTTTGCATCACATGAATAAATTATATTTTACAGTATATTAAAATAGAAAACCAGTATTTTAAATTGTAATAATATTTCACAATATTACTGTTTTTTCTGTATTTTTGATCAAATAAATGCATCTTTGATGAGCAGAATAAGCATCTTTAAAAAACATAAAAAAATCTTACTGATCCCAAACTTTTGAATGGGAGTGTATATTTATCTATAGTTATTTATATATTTAAATGTTTATTCTCATTATATTAATTAATATTATTATATTCATGCTGTTAAATTTTATATACATACTGTACATACACACACATATATACATATATATATATATATATATAGATGCATGTATGTTGACGTGTGTGTGGCTTGGTTCGACAGTAATAAAACATAAAGTCTCTTTCTATGGGAGCCAAAGAATTCTGTCTGGCTTTGGATCTTAAAGTTTCCTACAAGTGCAGACCTGTGCTCGCTAAAGGAGCTCATTATTTTAAGAGCTAATAATACCTATCTAGGTTGATGACTTAAAAGACAGCTCACCAAATGTGCAATTTCTACTCATTTCATTCCAAGTTTTGTGTGGGAAAGTAACTCTCTTGTTTAAATGAATTATGATGCGAGATCAAATCTCCAGTGCCAGCTCTCGTTGTCCCGTACAGACTGAAGAAGATCTACATCGAGGCGGCCGCAGCTTCAAACATCACTATACCCGATCATCCCGTGACCTTTGACCCCGAGGCCAGCTGGCTGCAGTTCCATCTAGGGATCAGTCGGTATGCGCTGTATTCAGGAGACGACAGCAGCATCGACAGACTCCTGCGAGACATGCAGACAGCCCCCGTCATCAGCGCAGGTCATGCTTTCTCAAGCCAGAGAGAAATAACCCTAAATCTGAAATATGCTATGCACGATCTCATCCTGCAGTGTTGCATTGTGTCTGACAGATTTCACTCAGGATCAGAAAGCGCTGAAGGGTGCATGCGACTGCTCACAAGGTAAATATATATATATATATTAGTGCTGTCAAACGATTAATCGCATCCAAAATAAAAGTTTTTGTTTGCATAATATATGTGTGTACTGTGTATATTTATTATGTATATACAAATACACACACATGCATGTATATATTTAAGAAAAATGTTACGTTTATATATTAAATATATTTATTTATAATATAAATTATATATATTTTCAAAATATATACATGCATGTGTGTGTATTTATATATATTTTATTTTGGATGCGATTAATCGCGATTAATTGTTTGACAGCACTAGTTTTTACACTATTTTTCTGCCAGGTTTGAACATTCTTAGCTGTAAAAAAGTAACATAAAACATTCCAATGTGCATAAATGCATACAAAATAAAAATAAATATGATGGCCACTTCTGAGTAAGAACTTCTGGGAATGTCAATTATGAGGCGATACCTATTACTTAGGTCAGTACGATTTGTTTGTTTTTTTAACAAATGAATGCTTTTATTCAGCAAGGACGCATTCAATTGATCAAAAGTGTCAGTTAAGACATTTATAGTGTTGCAAAAGATTTCCATTTCAAATAAATGCTGTTCTTTTGAACTTTCTGTTCATCTGTGAATCCTGAAAAATAAAATGCATGACGGTTTCCACAAAAATATTGTGCAGCACGACTGTTTTCAACATTGATAATAATAATGTTTCTTGAGCAGCAAATCAGCATATTAGAATGATTTCTGAAGATCATGTGACACTGAAGACTGGAGTAATGATGCTGAAAATACAGCTGCGCATCACAGAAATAAATTACAGTCTAACAGATATTCACAGAGAAATCGGCTATTTTAAATAGTTATAATATTTCACTATTTTACTGTATTTTTGATCAAAATAAATGCAGCCTTGGTGAGCAGAGGAGACTTCTTTGAAAAACATTTAAAAATCCTACCAACCCTGTGTGTATAAAACATGTATGCATAGTTTTGTGAATTAAATAAGTAAATATAACCTTTCACCATAAAATTGTGAAATTCAATTCAATTTAGCTTTTCAAAAACAGTTTTACAATAAAAATTGCATGTATCATCTTTTAAAATGTCATTTTTACATATGTTGTAATATGAATGCATGCATATATGAAATGTTTACTTTTCATATAAGTTGAGGTCATTTACAGTTAACCATCATAGTCATAGTTTATATGCTGTAACTTTGATGCAAGACCAGTATATGTTATTGTAAGTTCACAAACTCTGCGCTGTGTTTCATAATGAATGGCCGCTGGTTTAAGGTAGATGAGGCCATTTTATAACCGTTCAGAAAAAAACCTCTGTCACTCAAGAGAGCGGTCTAGAGTAAACGTCAGTCCTGTAACAGACAGTGATGTTAAAACCTCACAATCAACCCCATGCTATAATCACGTGACGTTTCCCCCTTTTAGCTCTTTTTGGCCTAACACAGTACAACTACAAGCTTTTTATTGTTTGGCTCGACTTTTTGTGTTGTTTTTCTGTTTCCCTCATCACTTGTGTGTTATTTTGGAGCATGGTTGAGTTTGTGAACTATTGATATGATTGAGCTAAAAGGAGTCTGGACGGTGCGGTTTAGGGTTCGGCAGACTGTCACGGCTTCCCAAACCTCAGACAAAGCAGCGCTGGAGCGCAGTGTACACCGCAGGCCCTGTTATGTAAAGATCCCTCTATAATTAAACTATTACTTTACTTTACTTTACTTTACTTTTAGTCATTTAGCAGACGCTTTTATCCAAAGCGACTTACAAATAAGAAAAAGTAATTAAAACTAAAAGCTAAAACTCTATAAATACTATATATATATTTCAAAACTAAAACATTTAAATGAAAACAAAAAAATAAAGCTAAAAACAATTCAAACATACATAACAAATAATAAGTAATTAAAACGAAAAGCTAAAAGCTTTTAAGAAAATAAAATTAATTAAATAAAAATGACAAATGCATACAACATTTCAAAACTAAAACATTTAAATGAAAACAAACAAAAAAATAAAGCTAAAAACAATTCAAACATACACAAATAATAAGTAATTAAAACGAAAAGCTAAAAGCTTTTAAGAAAATAAAATTAATTAAATAAAAATGACAAATGCATACAACAACATTTCAAAACTAAAACATTTAAATGAAAACAAAAAAAT